TGACGTTATGTTTTTTAATGTAAATCTGCAGATACAGTTAATGTTTGTCCTGGAAACGGGTTAAACAGTAACCCTATTACGTTACAAAACTCCACCAATGAATGAATGATACGAATGAAACTTTCTATCCTAACGTCCCCATCATGAAAGCACTACAACGGAACAAATTTACGTTTCCTCTTTAGAACCATAGGTAACCAGTGAAATTATTTCATTTTAAACCACTATCCACAGCTTTTGTTTTCTGCAGTTCCTTATGACCGACAGCTTTTTCATCGCTAAGAACAAAACTTATTAATTTTCAGAAAATAGCATGAAGTAATTTCTGGTTTATTTATTTTGTTGTAAACGAAGACTAGTCAGTTACTAGAGTTAAATAAATCTCTTTTACTCAGTTTTTAGGTGTCACGTGTTTTGTTTGCTGGGAATTATGTATATTGTTGCTCAAATAAAGGGCCTACACATTCTGATCAAGACCCACAACTGTTTATGCCTCTGGGCCTCTGGACCTGCAGCTTTTCAGGGTTAAGGGCAAACACTGATTACAAGAATAAACTGATTCATTATTTACCACTATCCACGAATCAGAAGACATTGTAATGTATTAGTTTATAATATATGACCATCCAGGACTATCCAAGTAAAAGGGGTCCACTGAAAACGACTATCCACGAATCAAACTCGTTGTATCTCGGCATTTTCCTTTTCGAAAAAGGAAAATGTGCTCCAAATTCGCAATCACGTCTACTAATCTCTAATCATATATTGAATGTACTTGGAAGTACTTCAACCAAGATGATGATCTGTGACGAGTTCGTTGGTCACGTGATCACTAATTAGCAATGACCCCAAGGGACATGGCATCGTATGAAATACATTAGGCGCACCTTGCAGTCTCTCACGTGAGAAGGCCAATACAGGTAGGGTGTTTGGGGTTTAAAAGTAAGGAGTCCCAAAGTATCTATCCTTTCAATTGTTGGCTTCAAGGACATTACACCCGGTCAGACGCAGGAGGTGTCGCCAGGCCAAGATAAAGGTGAGTTTCTTATGACTGATACCAAACACACACGCATAGATACATGTTTTAACTACATGTATACATCATATACTGTACACATGTACTATATATATACATATCCATCTCATTTTATAGATTGTATACATCTTATTCACATCCATAGTTTCATAGTTTTTCATAATCATACTAACACAGATATAACTATTAGTTTCATGTGTAAGGCTATCAGTGGCAAGGGGCGGTGGGGTAGCCTAGTGGTTAAAGCGTTTGCTCGTCACGCCAAAGACTCGGGTTCGATTTCGCACATGGGTACAATGTGTGAAGCCCATTAGTGGTGTCCAACGTTATTGCTGGAATATTGCAAAAAGCGGCGTACAGTCACTCACCTACAATTTATGGCCATCTATGAGTACTGACATATAAGAAAAATACTATTAGGCATTATCATGTTGGATTTCGTGAGAGGATGGATGCATGTAGCAGATCATAATTTCCATAGTTGCACATTAAGGATAAACACGATTTATTTATGCGTTTGAATGAATGGTTAATGCTTTGCGGTAATGAAAGGCAATGAAGTTCGTGTGGTACTTTTGAAGTTAAGATGACCGTGTGGCCTCAGTACTGCGTTCATCAATACTGTATTTAACACTATCAGAATCAGTGCAAGACACAAACTCCATGATAGTCTACTTTCTTCAATCAGTCATTGCCCATACTTCATATTATCTGGCAAAGGGTAGCCGAGTGGTTAAAGCGTTTGCTCCTCATGTCGAAGCGGGTTCGAAACAATTGTTTTGAAGTATCAACAGCCTTTTTATACAGTATCCCCAACTAGTATAATTTAATCTCTGCTAATTCTAATATCATTACTCAAATTTCCAAATGTTGTTGCAAAACAGATTTGCAAAAAAACATATTTTAATATGGCATGTGTATTATACAATTATAACCTCTTGCGCAGTATGTATATCTTTTGGGCTTTTATTGTGTCTTTTAGGTTCGTTTGTACTCAAATTCACGAATATAAAAGACAACACGAATAAGTGTGACGAATATATTTTAATTCTATTCCCTTCAACAGTACATACAACACCAGCATGTGTAATTGTTCTAATGGAAAATTGGAGTCTGTATTTTAACAAAAATAGGTCTGTTTCGCTTTCAATGTGAGACGATCCATGGGACTATATTTTGGCCTCATCTGTGCTGACCCTTCTGCCGCACCCACTTCCTACACGGTGGGCTGTTAGAGGAGGAAGCAGCTGGCACGGTGATTGATCGGAGACCCAGTATAATGTAGCCTTTGGTTAAATGTACAGGATTAGATAACTTCAACATGCAAAGTGTAGGTTGAACGAGCAGAAGAGTAAGTGGCCATTTTACGTCCATGTGGGAAAAGGTGACATATGTAAAACTATTGTTCGTATGTTTAGGGAAGTAATGCTTTAACAGCTAAATCTCAACCAGATTAACTTTGTCCGGGCGCGCTTTAAGACATAGACGAGAAGACCAAGTGGCACAGAAAATACCTCTTATCAGAAAGATGATAAAAAAGTTTTGAATAGTGGATATGTTTTGGTTTGCAGATTTAAAATAAAATATCAATAAATAGAGACAAAATAATTTAATTAAATGTGGTAACTTTACATTTTCATCAGGCAATTTATAGGAACTAAATGTGCATAAATCATAAAGTGGAGTAGATATGCCGAACTATTCTTGTATTTGACACAGCAACTGTTCGTGACATTAAAATGGAGTAATTTTTGTTTGTGACACTCAAGTCTCATTCATGACACTTAAAATATTATGACGGTTTTTATGAAGTTTTTAAAAGTTACCAGCGTTATGCCTGATGTTCATCACGGTCTATTTTTAGTGCAGTGACGTCACGTAATACGTTATACTTCATCACATTTGATAATCGTGACCTAGCCTCGCTTCCTGACACGTGTACTTACACATATACCCGTCAATTTCATCCTCAGCCTGATGTCACTGTAAGCCATGCTCTGAAATGTGATCATCGTTACTTGAAAGTACATTAACACGTTTTACCTTGTATGTAAATTACAACTTTTTACGGAACAGATATATATTTGAGACAACTAAATCAATGACAAAACCAGGTATTGGTGCAAAATGAGGAATAATTACAGGTAGTACCCGTCACCCACACACTAAGCAACATCCAATTCTCAGGCACTCACACCACGTGCTATCCGTCACCCAGGAGATGGGCACTAGTTTATCAAACGTTACAAAACCCTTACCTTACTTCAGTTTCGACATACGTATGAGTTTAACAATTACAAACAAATAATGTTAATACCATGTTTCCTACTGCTGGCGGGGTGGTGGGGTAGCCGAAAGGTTAAAGCGTATGCTCGTTCCTCTGAAGACTCGGGTTCGATTCCCAACAAGGGTACAATGTGTGAAGCCCATTTCTGGTGACCCCCGCCGTGATATTGCTGGGATATTGCTAAAAGCGGCGTAAAACTAAACTCAGTCACTCCAACCGCTGGCATCTGTCAAAAACACATGCAAAGGCAAATGAAGATTTCATCTGAACAATCACGGGACAAGACAAAGTAAGGGATTGCAGTGAACACTATTTTGTCAGCTCTGGCTACCACAAAAGGTGCTGAAAGCCTTACCAGGGACTTAATTCCAGCAATCACTATCAAACAAGTTTTGGACATTGTGTATACTTGACACAAACATTCTGACATTATCGCCGACATAATTATCGGGTCCATGGTATTTTTTAGGACGAAGTTTATGAGCATGAAGAACACTAACTGATGTTTGAATCTGACACAAGGGTAGTCTCGGGTTTATTGGGTTAGTTGGGAATTCCTCAATATCAGTGTTCAGACACATATGCCGTCTCACGGACCTTGTCGTGTCAAGTCCGGTTCCCGTGTTAACCCACTTTCCGCATAGTCTTGCACTGTCTGAATGTCTTTGATAACGTCTTTTGATTATACATGTAATGGTGTTAACGTCCCTGAACACGTAGCCGAGACCAATCTATTACATCTGTGGGACTGCGTTTATACACTGAAGTTTAGTGCTACTTTTGGTAGAGGGTTATCAAGCTTCATCTTATAATTAACTCAAATCGGCCTCCTATATTAATAGTATATTTTTATTTCTCCGATTTTTATAAACTTTGCTAAACTTTGTTTAAATTTAAACGTGACAGTCATGAGAAACGATGATGGTGGTCTTGCTCGTTCTAAAGCAGTTACATTCAGTAAGCACGCCTTCCTTGGCAGACATTTTGATTTTTCTACAAGGGACATCACTCCTGACAAGGGGCGGTTCTTCAACGACTTACGGTTAAAACTGTCATGAACTACGAATGTCTCTAGCATCTCTTCATCTTCCCTTTGGAAATAAATTCAAAATAAAATTCACAATTCCATTTACTTTAAATGACTATTCGTCATCATATAGATAACAAACCATTATCATCATTATCATCAACAACAACATCTTTACCCCTACCTGTAAAACAACTTTTGTAATGATTATATTCAAACAAGAAGGTTTAAATTTCCATAGAATATTCTTCTGCAAAAACGATATATATAATGTATTTCTGGCGAAATGTATGTGTAATGATCGGACTACGGTGGTGCCATCAATTAGAAAAAAGGGCAGTGATTACCTCACCAGTGACCAAATAACGTAGACATGTTTATTTCTGAGTCATTTCAGTTTAATGGACTTAAACACGTGTACCCGTCACACCAGTTGGCAAACGACATGGTTGGCCGTGACGAATTGCACTCGTCCTTAAATAACGTCACACATACCTTTATATAATTTTTTCTAATCAGTTACTTACGCAACTCTCTCTTCAAATTGAAACAAAAAGCAGTAATTGCAATCAATTCGAAATATTCGTAACATCGCCGACGTTAGGCAGTCATAAACCTGTACGCCTCGAGGCATGTCGTCACTGTCAGGAGCTCTCTCAATGCGAGTGTATGGCACGAGTAATGCGCACCCCTGTCACCTTTCATCACTGAAATGACAGGTAATTCTGTCCGCTAGGTGGAGTTCTAACCAGACTGGAACATATGGCGTGAGACGTAAGTCTATAACTTTAAATACTATATGTCAGTCTTACTGTTGCACTGGTAACTTTTTCAGTCCGTTTTTTCGTTTCTATAGTTTATGACATTATCAAGCAAGTAAAACAAGTATACTCTGTTTGATCACACTGACGTTTAACATATTTTATCATTTGTTTTTCTGAAAGCATAGATTAAAGGATGTTTTAGTCATGTGGCATCAGGCCTTTTGCACGTAAAGAACCTTTCGATGTACGTTTTTCATCAAAATCTGAAATTTTTAAAGCAAGCCGTCCCCAATCTTTTTGGGAGAAATGAATTACATTTGTTTACAGATTTACGAATGGGATCTTTTTTCACATATGCGGAAACAACGCAAGAAACTGATCCTTATATCTCAAACCATGGAATTTGTATACCGCAACTTGTTTCAAATGTCGCGTATATTTAGAAACAGTTTAGAAACTGATGTTTTCAAATTGACTTTAACACATTTCACATAAACGAAATTGCACTTACAATTTTCCATACATTATTGAAGATATAGAAACGTACAGTACAAACCTTTCTATCCATTATTCATAGTTTTATCCGAAATGTAATTTGTGCGTGCAAAATGCACGTTACCACCTGAGCAATAACCGTGCCTAGTTGCCAATGCAAGCCCGCGAGTTGAAAGGACGCCATAAAACTGCCACAAGGATCCTGGAACGCCCATTGTGAGTGATACAGCACAGTGTGTAGACGTGCACTGTGATGGTGCAGAAAAACATCGATGAGTGAACAGTGAAGGACACAAACACTTGGAAGGGCGTATATTCCCGTGTCCTACTCAGGATGCATCTGATATTGGACCGGGATTTCATTTTTTCGGTTTTAGGAACATTACGTTGAAGTTTGAGTTTTAGTTGTGGCCAAGATGTTTCCATTTTGTTTTAGTCTTAGGTATTAACATTCTAGTTATGGCCAAAATAGTTCCGGTTTAGTCTAGGTCACGATGTCTTGGAGTTATTTCCGACCAAGGTCAGACCGTTTCGGTTGTAGCTATATTTGTTGTTGTAGTTGGGTCCAAGACGTCTCCGTTTTAGTTGTAGCCGATATATTTTTGTTTTTGATAAGCTGTTTCAGACGTGATACTTTTGGCTGTTTAGGACGTTCTAGTCCCATATATGCTGAATCATGAAAAGTTGATAGTTTGGTCTTGGCTTTGACATGGAAGTCGAATTTTAGAGTGCAAGCCATGGCAACGTGTCCATTGCCTAGAGGCATGCAATATTGCTGTAACTGTATGTTCGAATCCCCATTTGAGATAATTATATACACATGGGGAAAAGTACCGCAACACCCCACATTTTTTATATTAATATATTTAACTTGCTCTACGACATTCCGTTGTGCATATGCAGTGTTTCGGCGGCGCTAAACACGAGCTTGGCCATCAGTCATGAACAATAGAAATCCAACCAGGGGACCATTGCCAGGACATCAAACTCCAGTGACGACAACCATGCTAGTTATGCTGCTTTGTGCTTTGGGGGTTATGTCGTCTGGCTGTATACCCTGCCGCTGGCTGGTTGGTTGGTTGCCGAACTCAGCAATATTCCAGGTATATGGAGGTGGTCTGTAAATAATCCAGACAATCCAGTGATCAACATATTGAGCACTGATCTACGCAATTGGGATACCATGACATGTGTCAACCAAGTCAGCGAGCCTGACCACCGGATCCCGTTAGTCGCCTCTTACGAAGGCATCTATGCCCTACCATTTATAGGCGGTATCGGACCGTTCTGTTGGACAAAGTACGGTGTAGACATGCCAGTTGACATGAACGGGTGAAGTCTTGTGATTCTGAGAAGGGCTGTATCCTGCCTGGTGTCACTCGTGGTCGCCCTGAACACGTCCTTAATATGCTGATGTTTTATGGTCGACAACCCATTATAGCATTCCGCATACCAATAACTTGCCATCTTTGAGCAGTTGTTAGTTAATGAGTTATCGAGCTGTAAAAACAATTTATTGGAACCTGAAATTTGCTTAATGACAGGTACATGTAATGCACGTGATGCCAGCCTTTAATCTTACCATGTGCAGTCATTGTATGGTGCGCCAGAAGGGTCAAACTAATCAAACAAACATACAAACCTTATTATGACATGACTATGCACGGCGGCATGGGTGTTAAATATCATAGGTTTTACGATGTTTCTTCCATGTGCATTTGTCTAGGTTTTTAAGTTAAAAAATGTAGTCGTGGATATTATCAAAATGGTAAAAATCCGAGACCTGCATGACGTCGGGCTCCCCTCCCACATTAGGCCGTCACACCATGATATAACATGGAATACTGTCTCTTGCTGTGTTATACCAACTCACTTCTACAGTGTCAAGCTAAAACCTATTCCAAGACGAACGGTTATGTTTTATGAATTATTTACATTAAAATCTTCCGATATAAACGTGTTTTAACCTACAGTATGTGCAAAATGTGAATGCAAACAAATGTCAGTCAGTAATTGAAAAACCGGAATAACACTTCATATACTTTGAAGTTATTTGTCTGTAACACTCTCGTTCTCTCGTAACATTTCACAGATGTAAGTACATTGGCTCAAATATCCATTATGATGAACAATTCACAGCCGAATAAAACCTTGTCAGGATACTTTGAAATATGTCGAATTCCATTTCCATGTCTTAGTATCACGTGATCATTATATGTCTGTCTATAGAAAAACGTCCTACTGTCACGGACAGTTCTTCTGAACATGAGCTCACAATGTTCCTGTGTCAGAGAGTATCCTGGCCATCATACGATCACTACTAATGAACAATCTGAATCATCGCCAACACTAGTTTAGCCTTTGGAACCGAACACTTCACGTTCTCCGAGTAACGTTCGACATCATTTTGCCCAATGAAAACTAACGAACAGAAAAAAAACATCAGTCGACTGATGACATCTTGCGTGGGATACGTTGCCATTCTTTGTGACGTACTGCATATGAAGTAGGGTGTCAACACAATATGACATACGACATATGCAGTAGGATGTAAATGCATTATGATATACGACATACTGGCACACTATTAAATGACATGGCAAGGGTGTTGATGATTCCTCCTCTATTCCAGATGAAGCCGCTACTACAGACTCTGCTCTTCACGCTGTTATTGTCAGTGTTAGTTGACCCCCAGGCGCCGAACTTCCAGCTCGCCACCCCAAGGGTGAGACAGGCGTTGGCGTTAGCCAACTACCTGATGAGGAGGCCCGTGGGTGAGAGGAGTATCAGGAGGGACTGCAGGCTCATCCCCCAGTCAGATCTGGACAACATATTCAATGCGATCAGGCGCGCCAAGGCAGACACGGTGAGTAAAATAGAAGTATAATATATTATAGGATATTTATATAGCGCACATATCCACGCACTAGTGCATGCTCAAGGCGCTGGTATTTTTCCCTCGATCATTGGATGTCAATCTCAACGGTACATCGCATTATCAATCTCAACTCCCTGGGGAGTATACAACTCTTGCAGCCACTAGGCGCACCGAGTTATTGTGGCTTTCTCATCCTAACGAGGTATACACTCAAACAACACTGTGCGTAACCTCCGTTGTTTGTAGGTATTGTCATATTGTTATCGATCCAAAAACCTTGATATCAAAATCCAAGATATATACAAGAAATTGAAATCTCCAACCACTAACTTCTTGAAAAGCATATGCGTCGACGCATTGATGGCTTGATAAATAGTTTATTGTCTCGAGGTCCCAGATAAGTTCAGACATACACTAAACGCCAAAAGAAACGTTACCCTCCTACCTTTATGAATTACTTAAAAACTATCAAAGATATGTCAGAAGGTATTAGTTTACAAGAAAGCTTAACAACACAGCTTTATGTAAATCACGAAAACAAATTCTCAAATGCATTCATATTTAGGTGAAATGCATCTTTTTCAGAAGAGTTAAATTGTCCTATTTTCGAACATGCCGAAATAAACCAATAACAGTTATTCAGATGTCCGAAAGAAAGGTTGAAATAAAATTCTGATTTGAGACAAAGATAAACCATTTAAATTCACCATATTTCAACTATTAAAACAAGAAACAACTGTTGTAGAGTGTGTAAAATTGTAAAATAATCATTCCTATGATTTCAGTCTTTTAAAAAACAGAAAACATTTTCTGCTGATTTGTATTAAGTTAGTAAAAACAAGTAAAACGCGTCTTTGATATTGTGAAAAAATGTTTAGGAACATCCAAAATTATCTTTGTTCACATTTTTGCTTGCAAAGTAACATATGCAGCAATATTCAAGCAGTATTTGCCTCCATTTCACATGTAGGGTATAAAGAGAGCCTAGAATACATGATATGATATACAAGTACCAGAAATACGCCACGATTAACAGCTGGAGAGAGAGAAAGCGCCATTGGGATGGTGCAGATGGGATCGACATACAGTGATGTTGCCAACGCCCTCGGATGCCACCGTATCACGGTTATAAGACTTATTCAGGGCTTCAGACAGACTAGGGTCAACGTAGATAGACCAAGAAGTGGACGTCCACGTATCACAACGTGGGCACAACGATAGGTACCTCCGTCACTAAGGAAGGAGGGTAACGTTTCTTTTGGCGTTAAGTGTAGGTTGCCCGATGTATAGCTGTTTCTGTGAACATGGTTGCACTAATAGGGCGCATTGTATGTACATTGTGTTCGGCTTGAAACTTACCAAATAATCATGAATGACAACAATATAAAAAAATAATGACAATGCTATAATAAGAGATTATATGAGATTAGGAGAGATTATCGTGTGTTGCAGCGTCTTCGTCCAAACGTCCACGATTGTTTCGCATTCCTGCACTCCCATCCTCAAGTCAACGCAGGTGCTCATGGAGGGCCCGGATTTCTGCCTTGGCACCGAGTCTTCGTGTTCCTGTAAGTAGCTGTTAAACTGTGTCATCATGTGTTTGGGCAAGACAGATACCTTGTGTTTGTACGTTCTCGTGTTGAGACAGCTTTCACTTTATGGAGAGAGCTGTTTAATAGCTGAAAATATTTTACAGACAAACCGACAGATTAGTGTTGGTCTGGACTCGGTAATGGGCAGCTAGTGTAAAACTTTGACAATATCTTTAAGCATAAACACTCATAAGTACTCATAAGGAAAGAAGTCTCATTACCTGTGATATACATAATTATATAATGGGCCGCATTGAAACTCTATCTTTTGGGGTCAGATACAGATGGAGATTCAAATATGTAGGGTCAAGTGGATATTACTTTTAGTGTCTATAATCATGGCGTCGCCTTTGGCAACCGGCGATCGAGTAACTATGTACTATTGTGAATACAGCGAACCTAATTGATATTTGCAACAAAAGTCTAAGTCTTACTGGGGCGCAGCTGAGAGGGTTGACAAGTCTGGGAAGCTTTGGATACATAGAATTGTGACACAATTTAGCGAGGACACTAGCCCGGTCGAGCGAGATCGCTGCGGTTTGGTTGCCTCTTGAACCCAAAACAAACAGAACATTGTTGATTTAGATCTTGATCTTGACAAAATTTTAGAAAGTGTTCACAAATGAAGTTTGAAATAATTCGTCTCCAAGTCTACATTGTGGGAGAGCCTCGATGTTGTTTTCATGTTGTGTTCGATATGTTCCACATCCAGCTTCATAAACATACTATCATGTATACCACAATGCAATGTTGTCTGTTTTAAACACCAGGTATGAGAAGATGCTACGGATGTACGAGCCGACGGTGAGCATGTGTTTCTGGGACAGCACTCTGGAACCTGACAACTTCGCAGAATCTTCAACGTGGACAGAGGCACTCTTCGGCAACGGTAACGGCCCAGTCACCTCCGGCCCGGGTGCTGGTTGGACGACGCCTGTCGGACGCCTGACCCGCGATGCAGGCCAGCGTGGAAGGCCACTGAACATGGCCGACATCGAGAACATCCTGTCACAGGGAACCCTGGGAGAAGTTTCATTCCCTAACGGCCATGTCTCCTCCAACGTGGAAGAGGTCCACAACCACGTCCATGTCCACGTCGGCGGCCACATGGGTCAGATTGAGACGGCTGCATACGACCCCATCTTCTGGTTCCATCATACGTTTGTGGACTGCATCTACGAGTGGTTCAGAGACGAACAAAAGAGTCGTGGTACCGTCAACGTCCAACGTGATTGGCCACGTGACTGGGGCGAGAGCGCCCACGGTCCCTTCAGGGCAATGAGACTGGGCTCCTTGAGAAACATCGACGGTCAGAACGACTTCTTCAGCACAAGAGTGCTTCAGTGTCACCGTGTCCCTCGTTGCAGGACGAACGCTGACTGTGGACGTCACATGACCTGCGAGGCTCGTTCTAGTAGATGCACGAGCACAACACGGGTAACCCAAAGCAACAACTTTTTCAATGGTCTGATGGGAATGCTGGGTAATATTGGTCAAGTCGGAAACTTGGGTAATCTTGGAAACATGTTCGGTGGAAACATAGGAGGATTTAATCAGAACAACGGCCCAGGAGCGATGAATGGTTTCAATACCTTCAGGAACCCAAATCAGTTTGGGGGCCCACAACAGGGCAATTTCGGCGGACCACCTGGCGGCCAGCGTAACTTTGGCGGACAACCCGGAGGACCTCAATTCGGTATCCAAGGCAACCCTCAGTTCGGACCCCAAGGCAATCAGTTCGGACGCCCTCAGGGCGGTAACGGCTTCGGTGGAATGGGTCCCATGCAAGGGGGTCCTATGCAAGGGGGTCCTATGCAAGGGGGTCCAATGCCCGGGGGTCAGGGAGGAAACTTCGGTCGCGGTGGTGGTGGTCAGTTCGGCTTTGGTCAGTTTGGGAAGTAATCAATTGCTGTATGGTTTCATGTCTGTCATATTCGGCCTACTTTTCTTTTCACGACAGTTATGCTCAAAATTGGACAATATTAACCTTGAAGTATCATATGGAAAAAATTATTTTCGTGTTATTTCATAGTAAATGTTTGAATGTACAGTACCTGGAAAATAAATGGTCTTTGTTATGCTATGTTCTAGTTATCAGATACCTTTCCACTACCGCTCTTGTCACATGTACATCAGCAATGGACACACATAAGTCAGGGTAATGCAGTCAAGGATATTAGCACCCAAGGCCAAAACTCACAAAACGTTGTTGAGTACTCGGAAACTCACGTTATTTTGGTATGAAGACAGACCACATATACTTGATAGACACGGTGGAAGTATTATTCCATCAAAATCATAATGTTGCCAAAAACCTCGGAGATGTAAATACATATTTATTGTTCCTGCTAGTTCCAAAGATTGGTGGTCTTACGTAGAAATAAGTTGTTGATTTTTTGCAGATATATATATTATACATGTATATTCCTAATAAATGATGTTTGAGAGAAGCTTTGTTTGTTGAGAGAATGACAAGAGTATAGCACTGAATCTGAAAGAGAAGAATATGAGAGATGAAACGAATAACCAATATTTCTGACCACAACAATATCATTTCCAAACGTCTATATGATTATATGTGGATGCCTTCCTACCACATGGCAGTAAGGAACACTCCCCCGATTGATCGTAAGAACTGGCAAATACGCAAAACCGTTTACACACTGTACTGTTTCTGTTTATACTTCTTCCTTGTTTTGGACTGACTGTGTTTGGTTTTACGCCGCTTTTAGCAATATTCCAGCAACATTACGGCGGGGGACACCAGAAATGGGCTTCACACATTGTACCCATGTGGGGATTCGAACCCGGGTCTTTGGCGTGACGAGCCAACGCTTTAACCATTAGGCTACCCCACCGCCCCGCCTTGTTTTGGAGGCGAGGGGGCGGGACAAGCTGAAAGGTTGTCGAACACTAACTTGTAGATGCGACTTTTGAACCTGTTTACCTTTCCACATCTACTAAGTAACCACACACACATTTGTAGTGTTGACCTTCAGACCTATATGTATTATTATTATTATTATTATTATTATTATTATTATTATTATAGGATATTTATATAGCGCACATATCCACGCACTAGTGCATGCTCAAGGCGCTGGTATTTTTTCACTCGATCATAAGATGTCAATATCAACTGCACATCGTATTAGCAATCTCAACTCCCTGGGGAGTATACAACTCTTGCTGCCACTAGGCGCACCGAGTTATTGTGGCTTTCTCATCTTTACGATGACTGTGTATCCGCACCCTTACACAGTCATAACCAAATGTATTTGTAGGATCGTCCTTCAAACGTGTACTTGTGTACATCACCTCACAGATATCACACATAAACTTGGTGTCACGATCATCTATAAAATCAGGCATTGAAAGTATGAGTACACGTCCACTTAGAAAAAGGTATGGCGATGCACAATATAGCACGGATATTGACGACCAGATCACCGCGCAAGTTACTCAGACATGACGGTGTTGATTGGAACCTATTCTGGCCAGGGTCCAGACCCACAGACCGATCATAGCTCGACGACAGGCTTTGCGGCTCGGGACCTAGGAATCTAAAAGATGAACCAAAACACCACTATACATCCGCGATCTGGCAAACGTTACGCGAACGTAAAACATGAACAACATAACATGAACATGTGTGACATATTGCATAACATCTCACACAAATATCAAATATGAACATGTAACATACTGCATAACATCTATCAAACATGAACATGTATAACATATTGCACAACATCTCACACAAATATCAAACATGAACATGCATAACATTTCAAACAAATGTAACATGAACATGTGTGACATAACATCTCACACAAATGTCAAATATGAACATGTGTAACATACTGCATAACATCTCACACAAATGTCAAACATGAACATGTATAACATATTGCACAACATCTCACACAAATGTCAAATATGAACATGTGTAACATACTGCATAACATCTCACACAAATGTCAAACATGAACATGTATAACATATTGCACAACATCTCACACAAATATCAAATATGAACATGTGTAACATACATGTGTAACATACTGCATAACATCTCACACAAATGTCAAACATGAACATATAACATATGCACAACAACATCATGAACATATATATGTAACATACTGCATAACATCTCACACAAATGTCAAACATGAACATGTATAACATATTGCACAACATCTCACACAAATATCAAATATGAACATGTGTAACATACTGCATAACATCTCACACAAATGTCAAATATGAACATGTGTAACATACTGCATAACACAACATGAACATGTAAACATATTGCACAACATCTCACACAAAATATCATGAACATGTGTAACATACTGCATAACATCTCACACATGTCAAATATGAACATGTGTAACATAATAACATCAAACATGAACATGTGTAATATATGTGCATAACATCTCACACAAATCAAACATGAACATGTGTAACATAATGAACATATGTAACATATTGCATAACATCTCACACAAATGTCAAATATGAACATGTGTAACATTGCATAACATTTCACACACACAAATATCAAACATGAACATGTGTACATATATTGCATTACATCTCATCTCACAAATATCAAATATATTGAACAGGTGTAATATATTGCATTACATCTTACACAACTATCAAACATAAACATGTGTAGAACATGTGAATATATAACATATGTAATATATTGCATAACATTTCACACAAATATCAAACATAAACATGTGACAAATATATACGAACAGGTGTAATATATTGCATTAACATGTGTAACATATTGCATAACATCTCACACAAATATCAAACTTGAACATGTGTAGAACATGTGTAACACATTGCATAACATCTCACACAAATATCAAACATGAATATGTGTAGCATATTGCGTAACATCTCACACAAATATCAAACTTGAACATGTGTAGAACATGTGTAACACATTGCATAACATCTCACACAAATATCAAACATGAACATGTGTAACATATTGCATAAAATCGTACACAAATATCAAACATGTGTAACATATCCAGCAACAGTTGTTACACTTACATCACACGGGAATATGCATGATACACTTCATGCTGGTTTACCATTGTCTAATCATCTACGTTGCATATAGTTGTACAATTATCGAATCTGAAAACCCCCGCAAATAACTGAGTCAGTTATATTTGGATGTCCTTCCGGATAAATACATATACATTTCCTCGGGCGTTGCCTGATGTGTATGTCATACCTTCCAAGTACATGCCAAGTATCCAAAAATGTCAGTAAGATTGACGAAATCTCGCCCCCGTCGTCCCCACAATCGCAATCCGCCCGAGACATAATCACTATCTCTGTAACATCTGTAAGATCAACCACTTGCCACTATTACCCCACCTTCATCAATCTATTTTCCATCGCCTACTCCACCATACCCACCCCTGCAACATCTGCACCACTATCATCCCTTCACCACCACCCCACCATTCTTCCATCATCACCCCATCACCACCCACCCTCTCCCCCTCAACGTTGACATCTCCACATCCCCCTCCACGATCACTGCTCCACCATCACACACCCCAAAAACATCTCCACCGTCCCTTTTACACCATCCCCTCCACCTTGACATCTCCACACATTCCCTCCCCCATCACTGCTCTACTATCCCCTCCCCTACATCACCCTCCACCATCACCTCACCCTCAACCATTACATCTCCACATGACATCTCCACAATCGCTCCACCATGCAGATGACATCACCATCCCCCTCAACCATCACCCCTCCGCTATCACCTTTCACTATCACCCCCTCCAACATCACCCTCCACCATGACATCTCCAGCATCACCCCTTCCCCATGGCATCTCTACCATGACATCTCCAACATCACCCCTCCACCATGACATCTCCACCATTATCCCTTCCCCATGACATCTCTACCATGACATCTCCAACATCACCCCTCCACCATGACATCTCCACCATTATCCCTTCCCCATGACATCTCTACCATGACATCTCCAACATCACCCCTACACCATGACATCTCCATCATTATCCCTTCCCCACATCCACCATGACATCTCCACAATCACCCCTCAACCAATCACCTCAACCATGACATCTCCAACATCACCCCTCCACCATGACATCTCAATCATCACCTTCAACCATGACCTCTCCACAATCACACTCAACCATGACATCTCCACATCACCTCTCCACCATGACACCTCTATCATCACCCTCAACCATGACATCTCCAACATCACCCTCCACCATGACATCTACACCATGAGATCTCTACCATCACCAGCACCATGACCTCTCCACAATCACCCTCCACCATCACATCTCCACCGTCACCCGCCACCATGACCCTCCACCATCACATCACTATCGCCCTCCATCATGACATCTCCATCGCCCTCCGCATCACCCCTGCACCATCACACCTCTACCATCACATCTTCACCATGACATATCCACCATCACCCTTCATCATGTCATCTCCACCATGACATATCGACAATCACCCTCCCCGATAACCTCCACCACGACATAGCCACCATCACAACCTCTGCCCTCAGGGGCACCTTGGCTAATATTTTACCGACGCTTCAAACATTGTATTCAGCTGCAGCAGTTTATTCCGATATGTCATGCCATATTTTTAAGTCCATAATGCGAGCAAGCCTATTGATCGTAGTCTAAACTCTGCACTGCTGCAAAATGAAAATAGCCACATAAAGATGAAGGTGACGTACAATTCAAATTCTGCCTCACCTGTCTCATGATTATCTCGGTAAAGAGGACTCAGAAGCCGCCATACTACCTGTCACCAAGTGACTTATAAGATGTTTTACCAAGTCACGTTTCACACCCTCCATCATGACCCCTCCGCGATCACACCCTCCATGCTTGTGAGAATTATCTTCCAGCACAAATGGTTACAGACACATCACTGATTTCCTCTTAGTGAGGAGGATGCTTTTAGTGGCAACACGTGTCGCCTAGTCACGAATACCACGTGACATCAAGTCACGAATACCTC